TGTGTGTGTGTGTGTGTGTGTGTGTGTGTGTGTGTGTGTGTCACGCACTAACATCTATTTACAGTATTTTCTTCAGGACTGATTCAGCCCTAACAGTCCTGCCATTGTTAAGTTTAGTGGCCTTGAGCAAGTGACGCAAGAACATTCCGACTTTCTATATATGTGTTTGTGCTGCAGTAGTTTTAACTTTAAGATTAATCTGCAGTGTATTTTTCCACCTTTTAAACACCTCAACTTTATCCTGTTTAAAGCTCTGGGAAAACATATTCCTGCAGCTGGATAAGTACTCCGATGAAAAACTCTAGTACCTGTATGGCAGCATCATCGTTATAATTCTGTTTACTTTGATTTTCTGTTGCTGCTTGCACAATGCTCTGCACCCAATAATAGCCCCATCACAGCCACCAATAAGAAAGAAAAGTGGACTGCAGACATGAATCAACAGAAGAGGGAGACTATAGCTGGATCATATAGCTCCTCCTAAGCTAAACTTTCTCTTCTTTCCAAGTGTGCATATTCTATTTTCTACATGTGTCAATCTAATGCTCAGTGCAAAAATAGGATTAATCCAAAGAAATCAAGGTGCCTGCTCACTTTTGTCAGATGGATCTTTAAGCTTATATACTTTGTTGTCTTTTTAGGTTGAAGGAGTCTTTCATTTTACTTTACTCTCATTTGAGCATCTCTGTTAGATTCATCTCAAGTCAAGTTTTTCTCCTAACATAAAGAAGCTTGTGATGTAGTGCCAAGCAAAATCCTTATCTGCTATCTTTCTGTCTGCCTTTATCTTTCTTTCTTTTTGGCTTCGTTCCGCATCTCACATCTTTTGTTTGTTATATTTTTTTAATCTCCTCCAGCTTAAAGGGGAAAATACGAAGAAGCATTTTGCTCCAACAAAAAAAGGAGCATGTCAGGTCAGACTGGTACAAAGATGTAATTTATTACCTGATATTTTTCTCTAACCTTTTCCATTCTGTCTCTCTTTCCCTCCTATCCGTCTCTAGTCCAAAGTAGAAGGCTGTGAGAAGTGCAGCAGCCTCTTCAACAAAGAGGGTCGTGTGCGGGCCGCTGTAACCACGGCGCCGGCCGGAGGGACTGAGGAGACCGACGAGGAGAAGGAGGGTTTGAAGAACCAGCTGAGGGAGATGGAGCTGGAGCTCGCTCAGACCAAACTGCAGCTGGTGGAGGCTGAGTGCAAAATCCAGGTATGCCAGCACACAGTTGTGACTGATATGAATGTACACACAGCCTCCTTCAAACTTAAACTGAAGTCTGGACAACAAAAATGTCCGAGTCCATGTGAAAATACAGTGAGTGAGTTGTTTCTAACAGGCAACGTATGTGAAACTGGAACAATACAAGTTTCTCAGGATGAAGAAGAGGTGCCATACAGATGTAGACGAAGAAGTCAGCTTGTAAAGATAAGATGCAAGAGATTTGGGTGAAATGGGCTGATTTCCCCTTTAGTTGTAAACACGTCTGACCCGGACAATCTCCTGCTGAGTTCTTCATATGTGGAAAATGACTGGATCTGCTTGTGAGTCATGTTCTGTGTGATCGTAGTAAAATAAAATAACTCGATTCAAGCCATGTCTTCTCCCATCACGACTTCTATGTTCTTCCAGCGGCAGAGCAGTTAATAATCAAACAGACCTGATCAAACACACTCATTAAGCTTAGGGACATTAAGGAAAATCAGTTTCTTAATACTAAGCTACCTGATTTAATATTTCACACTGTAGGATGTAACCTGCATAGCAATTAAGAAGAGAGGTCTGGAATATGTTTTACTCTTGTGCACAGTAAGAGGTGCCAGACGGGCAGAGGACCCACAAATCACAGAAGAGAATTTACCATTAAGAAGATATGGTCAAAGTGAGACCAGCAGCGGGGAGCTCGACTTCATTTAGTAGCTGAGTGATAACAGGGCTGTGATCAGTGCCTGAAGTTGCATTAAGGTCGAGTCGTATTAGAAAAGATCAGTCTTATTAAAGCAGGAGGCATCAAACACACAGTGGAAACATTTCACAGATATGTAAGTGTCAAGAGTCGCTGTCATAAAACTGTGATTTACAGTCAGTTTGGAAATAAACTGTGGTGAAGGAAAACTGAGCCACACTAGACGACTGTGAACCACCTATGATGAAAGTTTTTGACTGACAGCAACAAGGAGCTTTGTGAGGAATTTACTGGGAATTATGTCAAAGAGGAAAGATGAGCACTTCATATGATTAATGTCTGTTCGAGTGGGAAAGGAATTGGGTTCAAAGCTGCTGAGAAAGTTGTAAAAATAGATAAAATGTTTAAAGGGTTCACAGGAGAGTTCACTTCTCAGAAACTGTTCACGTAGATTTCTTTCACACGTCCTTGTTTGGACTTTTCAGTTTAGTCCGAACCAAAATAACGGGTGTGAAAAGTGCCTCAGACCATCAAGGGACCAAAATATAGTCTGGACGAGGGGGTCTTGATCAATATGAACCCTGCATTGGTTTGTTGACAGTCTTTATATTCTTCTCTTTCTTCTACCATCAGGACTTGGAGCATCACTTGGGTCTGGCCCTCAATGAAGTTCAGGCCGCAAAGAAGACCTGGTTCAACCGAACGCTCAGCTCCATCAAAACGGTCACTGGGACCCAGGGAAAGGAGACCACCTAACCGGAAAATCCTCCCAATCCAGCCAGTTACACCGACCGTGTGTGGAGCTCAGTGAAACTCACCACACTGAAAAACGCCTAAACCCTAACTGGGCCATATTTAACTTGAACACTGACAATTAAAACCCAGGACGACCATTACTACAGACTGTGTTACTTATCAAAAATGTCCTTGTGTCTCCCCCGCTCCCTCGCCTACTGATCTAATCACCCTCACCCATTTCTCCCCCTCCTCACCCCAAATGACTACAGCCGACCGTGCTGATGAGAAGGGGTTTGAAAAACATGAGATAAAGTGCAACAGTACCATTGTCCCCGGAGAGACAACACTTCCACCGGTCAAGAAAGAAATGCATTTTGAAAATTGGAGAATTGCTTCATTAATTTCTGTCTTTGTACTGCTGATATTAAAAAGTGGCAGAAGGAAGGACATCTGGACTGACACTGTCCTCACAGGACAGAGAGAAACACACTCCGTCCTTCCTGACTCTTCTGCATGCTCCCCTTAAAACTACTGGCACAAACCACCAGTCCCTGTTTTCGGTACGAGAGCTAAAATACGCCTTTTCAAAACTGAGCTTTTTCTAATTTACGTTGAACAAAACCTTTCTTTTTTTCTATGTATGTACACGAATGTGCTTCTGTAAAGAGGATGTATGTGTGCGCGTGTGTACAAGTGCACATGATTTACTGTTTTGTGTTCTCTGTGTGTTTGTGTACATGCGTGTGAGGCTGAAAAAAAAAACACGTTTGAGTGTGTAAACATTTGACTGAATAACGTTAAGCTGTGTGTGAAAGAGAGACAGAGCGTAAGTCCAAGGGAAAGAAAAAGCACTAAGGTTACGAGTGTGTGTGAGCGTTTGTGAGGGAGAACAGTACCCCCCCCCCCGCTGTGTCGTTTCCTTAAATGTCCAAATGTGTTTATGAATGACGCTAAAGAGAAGTTTGCTGACAAAGCCTTGATCTGAAGGTCGATAAAAGATACTAGCTGAGATGAAAATGTAATTTACAATTTAAAAAAACAGAAGCTCAAAAGCTGTTGGACTGAAGCAGCATAAATGTCCTTCCATTAAATTTCAGACGTAAAACGTGCTCGAGGTTTTTGTTTGGTTCGGATCTTCCAGCACAAAGAAACTTACAAAGCTCCCAATCAGGAAAACCTCTGCATGTTTTGCAACGTATGTGTCTATGTGTGAGAAACCCAGAATGATGCAATGATTGTTAGAAACCATAAACACGGCTGAGGGAAGTGTGGTGTCAAAAATGGAAATCACTGAACATTGCAATTCTGTATTTGAACACACCTCTCTCTCTCTCCCTCTCTCTGTGGGCGCCAGCTGCTCCGCGATCTTTGACCCGAACTGTCACGGTTGTGTTTGATATGTTGTCGAGCCGTGTGACATGTTGTGGTGTGTTTTACAACAGTTTTCACAGTTCACTCAGACCACTTGGATCAGTGTGAACACCACACACAAGCACTGAATTACAAACACATGCAGAACACTCAGCGGCCTCTTCATTCAGAAGTTCCCCACAAACACGTGGTCGAGACGTGTGGTTATTGATTGTGAAAATATTACCTTATATATATTATAACCTTAGCTTAAAGGTTCAGTGTGTAGAATGCAGTGACATCTAGTGGTGAAGTTGCATGTTGCAGCTCCCCCTCCTCTTCCAAACATGATAGAGAACATGTGGCATCTTCAGTTGTCATAAAAACTCAAAAGGTTTAGTTTGTCCAGTTTGGGCTACTGTAAAAAAACATGGCGGCCGTAGAGAGGACCCGCTCCCGATGTAAATATGAAGTATTTAAATATAAAGTATTTAAATATAAAGGCTCATTCTAGGGTCAGAAAACAACAATTTGTACAATTTAGGTGAAACACACAAGTGAGACGATCACTAGGATTATTTTATATTCAGTCTCTGCCAATAGATTCTTTCACCTTTATCTCACACACTGGACCTTTAAGTTTCCGCTGCTCAAATCTATTATAAAAACAAGACTGAGGTCATAACAGGAAGATGATTAATAATTAGGAAATTCTACACTATGAAACAACTCGTCTCTGCTGTCAGACTCTGAGATCAGGTGTTTTGACTGTAAGGTAGAAGCAGGAGTGAGGAGAGTGCCCTGGTTCGTTAACGTCACTGTGTCACCACAGTGTACAACGGCCTTGTCCCCTTCCTGTTGAACCTCCTCGCAGTCGTGTGACTCGTCATCTGGAGATGGATTCAAGAACATGACAGAAACTTGTGTTTGTTCCAGCCGATTGCTCTCGACTCAGCGGAGCAGGTTTGGGACGAGGTAACTGAGGCTTGCAGGAAAGAAATCTGCAGGAATCGATCGACTTTATCGAACCAGAGAGGAGCGAAAGAAAAAAATCCCTGTAGATCATTTCAAAGGGAACACAGGCAGGAGGTTTGCAGGTTTATAAGTGCTTGTGTGTGGGGGGTCACTTTTCTTCCAGCCTGAAATGAGTCGTAACTGTAAATTGCATCAGGTGGAATCTGATTGGCTGGAATCTACTTGTGAAACGTCCCCGATGAGATGAGAGAGGAAGTAGAGCCGTTCCCCTGAAGGCACTGGGTTGTACATAACAAACATTTAAAAGATGAATATTGAGTTTTTGTTGATGATTTTTTACTCTGTAACTTTAACTAATGTTGCCTCCTTGTACCGACCTACCTGCTGCCGTGCTACAGTTTAATCCACAGCTACGTTTTTGGTTTTTTAACGTTTTGGTTTTGCTCCAGGCTTCTCGGCCTCACTGCTGTTTGGTTATATTAAAATGCCAAAACGTAGCTTTATCATACAACAGAAACAACATTATCAATGTGTGGAACTTGTAATAGAGTAGGATGCATTGTGTATACTTCATGGATTTCAATATAAAGATATCGACACAAAACCATCTCCGTTTCTTTTTCTTTCTTGATCTTAGTTGAACAAAATAAGTGATATACAAAGTAGAAAAATGATGGATGGAGAGATAGAGAGAGAGAGATCTAGTTACTAAAAGAATCTGCTCCGAGAGTGAAACTATAAAATGAATATTAGAGAGTTTAAATATTAAGAATCTCCTCTTTTATCTGTTTACTGCTCTTTGTTGTCAGGTTTACCTTCTTCTCTCGTTTTGCCTTCAGCTGAATTAATATATGATGATACTTTATTGTCACAAATGTCATTTTCACAGAACAGCTGTCATAGATCCAAACCATCGTCTGTGCTTCTTTCACCCTGTTTTCTCCTCCTCCTCCTCTTCATCATCATCATCATCATCATAACGCTTGCTCTGTCAAGTTTAACATAAGCTGAGGCTCCTTTTACATAAAGATGACACATGATATTTTACATGAGGTATAGTTTGTGTTTTTGCATCTTTATCTGTCTCCTGAGCTCAAAGCATCTTCTATATATAAACGTATAAAGCTCAAAATGTTTCCTCTCCAGCTCCTGTCTGAGGTTTTGTGATGAGGAGCTGAGGAGGAGGAGGAGATAAAGGAGACGCAGGCTGTTGTTCTAATGAGACTTCTCTCTAAATCACCTCTCGGGAACACATCTCTGGGTGTCTGAGAGAGTTTTGAACATGAAAATAAACCCGTCTTCTCTGGGCTAATTACGACCTGTGAAAACAGCCTCTATCTGTCAGCCTCTTGAAGGAACTGTTTCCCCGGAGCTGTGAGGGAATCTCTGTGTAGCTTTTAGGTACTTTGGCTGCAGCTCCATCGCTCATCTTGTCCCTCAGAGAAAACCCCCTCACAACATATGGCAGCGTTATCTGTGTCAGATCCCAGCTATTTTCTGCCTGGGCCTCAGTGGATGAAACTGTGCAGGAGGTCTTACATATATATCATCTGTGTTTATAACTCAGTGAAGATCTATGAAGTTATCACCTGTATGGGGGAGGGGTGTCTTGGCTCTGCTTCAGGCCTCTGCAGCTGCAGATTGCAGAGCAGCAGGCAAGGCGAGGTGGAAACCTGCTACCTGCAGCGGCCGCAGGAAACAAGCGTCAGCATTATGCAATATCAGTTTGACACCTTCACCCCCCCCCCCTTCTGTCATGCATTACTGAGCTATAAATAACACAGTCGAACGCAACGGTAGAATGCTAAGGGGACGGATACCTTTAGTTGCTGCTCGGCTCAGTTAGGAGTGATTTGTGATGAGGTGTGTGTGAGTGTGAGTGAGTGTGAGTGTGTGTGAGTGTGAGTGTGAGTGTGTGCATTTTCATGTGCATGTGTGTGAAGCCATTTTAACCTTAGAGCCTCCCAACAACCTCCTAAACTCTCTCACACACACCAACCTTCTGTTGCTTTGGCAACCAGCAGATTTGACAAGTTTAACATCAGAAGTGAAAAAGTATTGATCACATACTAAGTTTTAAACTTGATACACACACTTTCCATGTGAATATTACCGATTTAGTTTAAAAAAAATATTTACGGAACATAATTTGACACTTACAATTCTTCTCTGGTTGTATTTACTATAGTTTTGGTTATTGATTGATCCAGTGGTTCCCACACAAGAAGACACTTCTGGTGTCTGAGGTTTACAAAATGATTTTCAGAAAAATCAAATACAGTTTGAAAATATATGTTAACTTCAAAATAAAACCATGGAGGTAATCCTCAGACCTCTGATGTCCTTCGTCCCCACATGACTCCTGAGGTGATTACGGCAGATTAGTGACAGCGTCGGTTTACAGCAGCAGAGGAAACGTGTGCAGGTATTTTCTGTGAACTCGCTCAAATCAACATCCTTTGGGATTTTAGAGGTCGCATGTGTCTGACATGTTTATTTTGGGGTCTGTGGAGTTTGTGAAACCCTGGATTCAGTTTCAGATTGTTTTCTTTGTTAATTGATCATTTGTTTAATCTATAAAAAATCATATACAGATACAAAGAAAACAGCCAATCTCATTTTTTATTCTGTTATCATCACACACTGGAACAGAACAGACAGCATAAACAAAGTCTTAACAGTCTTCCTCAGGTATATTTTTCGATACGTATATGTTTGTATATATTCTGATCTATCACCAGAAGAGTTTACAATCAGGGACTCCAGATTTGAGTGAAATCTTGAAATCTTTCAAGTTTCTTGAACGCAGCATCATCATATTCATTTCAATTCATAGTATTTTACTCTTTCTAACAATTATCAAAGTGATTTCATATGTTTAAAGGGGAAATTAAGTGAACGCTAACAAGCTGTGACGATTTTCATCTCTTTATATTTCCAGTGGTCACCGTGGAGCCAAAAAGTTTGGCAGCCACCACCACTATCGTTTTAAGCCGCTTATTAAATCGTGTCGTCTATAAACAGGCACTAATGTCCTGCGTCAGGAGGGGAGAAACGAGTCCTGTCAAATTAATCTGAGTTGCGAGCTTATCAGAGTTGAAACATACTCTGGGCCAATCCAGGAAGTTGTCCCGAGTCCAATGTCATTCCTCAACTCACAGTGAATGAATGTGGACGACGCAGACGCCTCTGGTGTCGCGTTTCTTATTGGTTTTCCAGATTAGCGTGAACATAACTCTGAGAGCGTGAGAGGAGGCTCGCAGCCAAGTTCAATCATCAAAGTGGGATCTGACCATTTCTGCTAATGTTAAACAGACTATTTTGATTCCATGTGAGAGTCTCTACAAACGGAATGAGCAATCGGAGACAGTTGCTTTGTTGGATTTACAGGTTTTCTCACCTCGTTGGAGGACGACATCCAAACACAACATAATGTTCAGATTCTACAATGGCCTCGTTTTTGTCACTTTCTAATTATACCATGAAAATACAAAAATGAAAAAGCAACTTTCATAGCTAAGCTGCCAGGTTTGACACAATCTGCTGATATGTGCAGGGTTTCATTTGTCAGGGTAACTGTCATCGTCTGGAGACTTTAATCCTCATCCTCTCCGTCTTATTTGCTCTCTTTCCAACAAAAAGTACATTCTCTCCCTCCAGTTATTCTTCCTCTGAAAGTGTCACATTTGCACAAACGCCGTCTCGTTGCTCCGCCGGGATGATTGGCGGCGGTGGCTGTGTGCTGACGGCGTTGACAGCTGGAGATGTCACTGGATACTCGGACTCAGTCGTCAGCAGAGCCGCTCTAAGATGACTGACAGCTCATGTTGCTGAACTGAACCCTGTCCTGAAACTCCTCTTCCACGAACCTGATAATTATTGGCTGTAACCTGGACTCTGTGATTATCGTGTGACATAATGACTCAAGTATTATCACTGCTGAGTGTCAGAATGTGGCCTTAACCATGTGGGCGTGTTCACCGTGGGACCGAAATAAAATGTGTCTGCAAAACTAAACCAAAATATTGTCCTCAGCATGACATTTAGGAATGTGCACCCTGAATCAAACAGCTCACTCATAAGGCCGTAGTGAAGTCAATGTAAAATCAATGTGTGCATAAGGGCTGCGTTTGTTTTTGTATTGTATTTCTAATGATGATGTTTTAGCATTTATTATATTAATACAAATTCCTCCTGCATTCCACATTTGCATGTTAATATATCATACAACATATGAGTGTCAGAGTCATGTTTGTCCTCAGACGAGGCATCCTGCTGACTTTAATGAGTTTGAGCTCTTGTGAGTCTTCAGGGACATTTTGACACTTTTTTGTTGAACCTTTTGATTCCTCTGCGTTTGTGTCTCAGTTGTTTGCACTTGAAGTTTGTAACTTCCTGTTTGTCTCTGGTTTCAGAGGCTTCACTTCCTGTCTTTGTCTGTTTTCCCGCCCTCCATGATCACCTGAGTTTCAGTTCACCTGAGTTTCTTTGTCCAGTCTGTCAGTCTTCACAGTTTTGTCCTCCAACATGTCTGACGTAGGTTTCTCCTCTTTATTCGGATTCTTTTTCCTGATCTGACCTGCTCACAGTCGGTAAGTGTGAATCACCTGTTGGAGTTTCATCACTGTACAAACATTTCTGTTTCCTTCAGGATGAATTGTTGTAACTGTACGTGTCCATCGTGTCTCAGCTACACTGTGGGTTTGGTGCTAAAGAGCCAATGTTAGCATCCATGTGTGATTTATTCTTGTTTGTGTATCTGTTTTATCTTTATCTACTCATCTAAAGCAAATGCTGGTCTGCTAACTTCACTTAGCTTTACTTGCTATGGACGAACATGTTAGCATTCAGCTAGTATAGCTTGCTGCCAGCATAGCCTATTGATAGCATATAGCTGTCCTATTGATGTGTTTTTGTCTCTTTTAAACGCTCAAACGATTTAACTTCAGCAAATGTTGGTGTGCTAAGATATTGACAGTGCTAAACTGTGAACTGTAAACCCTGTATGTGCAGCACATGGCCATGTTAGCATTTAGCTTCAAGCATCGGTCTTCCTAACCTTAGCCTACTGCTAGCAACCATCTGTTTGTCTTGTTTATATGTATTTGTGTATAACTTCGGCAAATGTTTGCTGTTGCTGTTAGCGTGCTACAACTAAGATATTGACAATGGTGAAAACTGTACCTGCTGCACAAAAGGATGCTAGCATTTATCTTAAAGCATAGCTATCCCTAGGCATAGCCTGCTGCTAGCATCCATCTGTTGATTGTTTGTGTGTTTGCTCTGTGCCTTTGACATGACTTTATTTATTTCAGAAAATGTTAGCATGTGTCTACACTCAACTATGGTATAAACAATGGTAAATGCTGTACTTGCTACACATAAGCATGTTGGCCTTTAGCTCGAAGCCTAGCTATCTCTAAGCATAGCCTGCTGCTAGCAGATAACAGCAGTACACTGTGTTAGCTATATGCTAGCATAGTGTAGCATAGTGTAGCTGTTTAGTTTTATATTAAATTATCTTTTAAATAATTTAAAAACTGTATTTACCTTGAGGAAATGTTAGCATGCTATCTACACTCAACTAAAATGGTGACACTGTACTTACCTAGTAAAAGCATGTTAGCTCCAAGCATAGCTATCCTAAAGATAGCCTGCTGCTAACATAAACATGTCTTTTAAATTCACAAACTGTATTTGATTTACTTGTTTGGGACATTATGACAATTTTTCTTGATTTCTTTATTTGTGTGCTTTCTTCTGTTTTCTCTCTGTATCCTCTAAAAGATTCATTTCAACATATTTTAATGTTTTTAAAGGTGTATATTCTTAAATGGTATATTTGCTGTCGTTTGCCCAATTTTACTGCTTTTTACTAAGTGTTTTGTAGTTTATCCTTACCTGTAGTGTAATATTGAAATATAGTAAAAACGGGTTATAAAATATATTTGATCAAATCAAATGTTCAAACACACCAGTCGCTTCCTCAGATTCAGTTTTCAGAGATGTTTTAAAAAACCCATCAAGATATTTAGTTCTTTCTCAGTTTTATTTTCATTTCATCAAGCAGAATATGTGGAACAGTGACGCCCAGAGATCATCACCACTGTGAATGTTGCTACTAATTAAAATGATCAATACAGTGACTTCAAATAATCCCCACATTCATTGTCATTGGGCTCTTTGAAACACTCACTGTTTACATGTCAAAATTTACTCTGATCAAATAGATTCTGAGGACGGATATCACTTTATAATTTCATAGGCAGCATCATGAAAAAGTCTCTTTTAATCCCCTTTTGTCAAAAATAAAATAAATTGATAAAAATAATATTTACAGGAACAACTTGTCACTCATAAAACGCTACCGTTGTCAAAGCATCATAAATAAAAATTGAAAAGGTGAAAGAAATATGAATTGTAAAAGGGTGGATGCGCCCAAAAAAACTCTCACACACAAGTAGTTCAAAAGATATATAGATGTGTGTGTGTATATATATATATATATGTATCCATATATATTCTGTATATGCTTCTCTACAAAAAGTAAGTTTACTCTTTCTACGAGTAAATACATTCTACTCTACAATCACTTCAACAACAGTGTACATTCTCAACCAAAATGATGCTTTGATCGTTTATTAGGAGGAAATTGGACTTAAACAATCAGTTGACCAGGAAGTATGCAACAGCATGCTCAGTGTGTGGGTGTGTGTGGGTGTGAAATATCTCCCCTTCACAATGAGTTTATGTGCGGGACACACATGTTTTCCTCAACTCGACACTCTCTCACACACACCCAGAGAAAATGATCTGCTCAGCAGTTAGTCTGGTTAACTTTGCCTCAGCAGTTGAAATGTGATCCAGGATCTATTTCTGCTGCTCTGCAGAGCTCAGTTTAACTTGTTTGTGTCTTTGTGGCTCTTTGTGCATCTCTTCTCTCCCTGCTGTCTGTGCTAATGCAAGAACGAGCAGGTTTTCCTTCAGAGGATAGATTTACAGAGCTGCTTTTTTTTTTCTCTTCCTAACATGACATTTTGTAGCTGTCTAGACAGTGAATATCAGACCACGTACTGAATAGTGTTTCACTGCTGAGATGATCAGATTTGTTTCACAAAGGCTTTAGAGTCTGGATAAATCCCATCTTAAAGAATGAACCAAACCCCATTTCCCAAAAGCATCTCTGCATCAATTTGCTTCTTGACTTTTGACCTGGCAGCGAAGATAAAGAGCAGCCTTTGGGAAACAGCTTATGTGGTCTCCAAATGGAAAGTCCAAAAACCTGACGTCACCTGGCAACAAAAACACTTGATACTCTATCTAATGAACAAACGCAGCATCTAAACATGCACAGCCTCTGTGTTTGGTGCTAAGATAACGTTAATGGATGACAGACCTCCTCCCTCTTAACATATAATCTGTTCTCCCAGAAAAGCAAACTAATAGTGAAACCCACTTTGTACAGTGCTACAGACAGCCCATTGTAAAGCACCAAGATAGAACATGGAGATATGGGGGGGTGTTTTCATACATGGCTCAAATCCTAGAGTACAAACGAGGCCTAACCACTTGTATGACTGACTACATACAGTACAATCAAAAGTGTTATATACAAAGCACAGGATGCCATGCTGTCTTAATGTGCTCGGACCGAATGCTGAAGTATTTACATATATGATTATGTGTGTGCTCTGAAATGTGTCCATTTGCATATACATGTGTCAGGTAGCCCTGAGAAGGATGTGTGGGTGCACTGGTCGTGTTTGTTTTGTGCTTCTTGGATTACAGGTGTGAGTTGTTGTTGAACGCCCACAGACAGGCAGTGTAAGGAAAACTGGAGATGCAGGGAGAGTGATGCAAGTATGTTGACAATGGCTGCCACGGTTAGAGGAATTTCTTGGGACCGCTGGAGCAGGAACAACATCCATCAGAAAGCTCAGCTCTAGCACAAACAACCATTAGTCTCTAGAAAATCTATCCACACGGACGTGTCCGTCCCAAACATGGCCACCGAGAGCGATTCTTCAGGAAAACATGTCACAATAATATTTGAGTTTTCAAAGTGAAGCATGGCTGGTTTTGTCTTTATACAGTATGGGACATGAACTGGAGTAAAATGTCAAATGTAACCTCACTGATTTCTTTTTGCATCTCTTAACACATTTATAAATAACAAGAATGGCACCTGCTAGACCAGCAGATACCTTAAATTCATCAAGCTGCACCAAATTTCACACACAGATATAAGTCACCTAAATATGCCCCCCCCTCCACAAATTATTACCTGGGAAATCATATCTCCAATTTTAGAAAGTGAAAAAATCTTCCTGGATCCTCATTAAAATGTAACACTCTTCTTGGTCAATGTCCCATCCTCTTGTTCCTTTATTTGAAATTCTGTCAAGTAGATTTTGCAAATTTCAACCAACTAGTGGGTCGAGATTCTAACCTCCTCGTCTGAGATCAAATCAGTGGGACCTCTGTCTAACGAGATGAAATGACCACTCTACCACTGTGGATCAGCTCGTTCAGTCCCACCAGATGCTTTATGCCACATTTAGACCGACTGTGTCTCCCTGAGCTCTCGCTCTGCCACGTTTCCTCTGAGAGCAGTTGTCCAGCCAACAGACCAAGAGGACAGGGTCAGTAGCCCGGGTGACTGTGTGTCTGTTCCGTCTGAGGGGAAATGAAAAGGTTGCTCGCTGAGGTATGCGTCTGCCTTATTAATGTGGGCCATCTGGAGAGAGAGAGTGTCTGTTTCCACACAGCAAAGCTCCAAGTTATTCACCTGTTTGTGAATTCCACAGGAGGATGAAAAGTCTCGGTAAAGCAGTGTCAGATGCTTGTTGGAGAGTTTTTGGAAATGAGATGACAACACGTGGGCTGTGATTTGCTGCAGTGAAAAGCTGAGAATAATGAAAACGTGTGCTGCAAAGATCCATAGACGATAAGGATGTAATGTTAAATCTTTAAGGGAAGGTGTTTTTATAAGAAACAAGTTTTAAAGCTGCTAATTTACTCTGGTATATTAAAACCAGATGTATTTCCACACTATGCAAAAAAATCTTTTTCAAGTTTTAATATAAAGGAAAGGAGAGTATCAGCTTTGGTGCAATTGCACATTTTGAAGTCACAGTTCTAAGATGGGTTAATGGCTGCGAATAATGAAGTTGCTGTGATTTTTAAATACAGATTCCTCAGGGCAGGACTGCAGATGCCTCATTAACATGGTAGAGGATTAAAACCAGTCGTATAGTTGACCTCACTGCTCTTACACAAAGCACAACTGTAAAGGAAGTACAGGACATCCTATATTTTAATCTCCAACTCTTCATTATAGCTCCGTGTGACACATGTCCTTACATCCTCAGTGGCGTCACAAACATTTGATTTTAATTTTACCTGTTTCTAAAAATATCAGTGAGTCTGTTATCTTGTTCTCAGTCGTTCTTGTTAAATCGAAGCTGGCACAACACAGGAGGTCAAGCTGGCTCCCAGATCAAGGCGAGCATGAGGAGAATCAAAGCATCATGAGGCACATTCTGTTCAGTTATACCTCTGCTGACTGACATGTTGTCTCGATTATAGGGTACAAAATAAGAATTCTCCCTGGTGTCTATGCTGATACCTGCTCATTTCCAAAAAATATATCCCAGAATTGGACCCAGAAAACTACAGTTTGATGCCATCTGTCTAATAATTACCTGTAAATTGACTATGTACTATAACAGAGTTTGACTCACAACTCCACCATTATACTGCAATTATTGATAAGAAATTAAAACCAACAAAACTCTATCTCTTCCAGACATTTTCCTCTGCAGAAACCAGGTCCGTGGAAAAAGAAGTTGAAGAACCATGACAATGACATGAAGAGGCTTCAAAACTTCAAATGACTCAACCTCTGCCTCAAAATACAAAGTCAGTATCATTATTTTTGTTTTACAAGATGTTTTGATCTCAGAATTGAATGAATTCTTCCTCACATGTGGTTACCGGTGTCATCATGAAAATCATTCCATAAAAATCACACTGAAGGCTCTGAAAAGGCATTTTTACAATCAGTTTCCATTTATAAGCGACGGGGTCTCACACGAACATGAGAATAAGCTCTACTCAAGTGTTTGTTCTTTGCTTTGCTCACTAACTTGACCCGAGAAAGGTTCAGTTGTACAAAAGTGATGTCACAACAGATGAACCAATCAGGAGTTGGCAACGCCGATCATCCAGGAACAGAACAAGTCCAACTGAAACAGATGAACTGAATGTTTAACTCTACTTGATAACTATGATTATTCACGCTGAACTTTGTTTCTTATTCAGATGTGTTTAATGATCCTTTGACACTGAGTCTTCAGAGTCTTTAAGGCTTTTGAAGGAGCTTCTGGTACATTTTCTTATCTTTAGGTATCTTTTCCTCAGTTGGTCACAGGCAGCCTTGGTCACTGAAACATGGATCTTGGGTCTAACCAGGCTTTATCTTCTTTGCTCAGATCTTGTGGCAAAGGCATCACATGGTAAAACACTAATATAAGCTTCAAAACATCTATTCAGTGATGTCAACAACCGCTGAAATGTGTCTACCCACATAAATCCCCTTAAATGCTACAGGAGAAATCAGTTTGGGGAAAATAATAAGAGACGGGAGCATATGAATCCAATTCAATGTCCTGCACTTTAAATTTTTAGCCGGGCTTTATCTTTAGTTTGCCAGTAGTTTATCTGGTGTCTGTCCCACTGTGTTAACTTGGCCTGTTTGTGTTCATGCCACCAGCAGCATCACTTCCAAAGTGTAGATGGGTCAGAGGAGGATGGAGAGAAGTGTGTGAATGTGTTTGCAGAAGGGAGGAGCTTTTAGCGGTGTCATTGAGCTGTGCTTTGTGTCCCTAAGGCGAGTGTGTCGATGGGTGAGTCTGTTCATGTTAGAAGGGAGGAGCATGTACATCAGAGTATACACATATTATACACATATAGTATTTGTAACAACAGTATTCCCTGCCAGCAGTGAGACTATAGAAAATGTGCTTTCTGACATGTGAAGTGTGTGTGTGGATCAGGTCATGAGTGTGTGAGCACTTCTTTGTCCAGGCCATGTAAACAAACCTCGGGCAGCGGAGAATGTGCTCAGAAAGACATCAAAGATAGAGGAAAGGTTGAAGGAAAGAAAGAAAGAAAGAAAGAAGGAAGGAAGGAAGGAAGCATTATAATTCTAACAGCACGGCTTAATAGGAATACCAAAGATAATATTGCATCTTCTAGAACTAGCTTCAATTGCTCAGTGTATATAAAATTGGAAGAAAGCTATACTGTGATATTAGTTAGATTTCACTTTATAATTCTAAAATAATTTATACCAACAATAGTTATATTTTATAGAGTATTTACATAAATACATCATCGTATAGTAATATTATCATCAACACATCATTATAGAAACATACACCATACATATGTGTATATAGTAACGTTATAGCCACACGTACACACACATACAATGAATATACAATCAAAATGAACTATTGCAACGCTGCGTTGGGTAAAACTCCATCGAACATTCACATCTTCTCAAGTAAGTTGAGCTCAGAGAGACAAGTTCAGATGTATTGCTATAAGAAAGACTTCAGCTCAGCCTCGCACAGTCGCAGCTGAACATTTTCCGTAAAATCCGAGTATTGCTTATTGGAAAGTCTCCCTCCTCCGACGAGACAATCTGGATGGAGAGGAGAGAAAATGGGAGAGAGGCGCTTTGAGCCGCTCGGTCTGCGGGTTTTACAGTTCTGCCGCTGTCGCCAAACTGAAGTTTTATTTTCCCCCAGTAGACCGATCAAACAAAAACTGTTAAGAATCCGTGAGTCCGTCGGCCGGGGTCAGAAAGGCAGCCCACCCAGACGGACAGAAAAACAGGTGGGCATGTGAGTGACAAGAGTATCCAACAACCTGCTTCCTCTAGAAGTCAGAGAAGAGATCCTGGGGGCCCAGATGGATGATAAATGGAGCGATGGTCCGCGGCTGGTAGAAGGGATTGTCAATGAAAAGTCCCCCTGCAGACAGATGAAGGAAGGAGACAGAACAGGAGTAATTTAGGAATAAATCCGACTGTTTATAAAGTTCGTTGATTCACTAAAAACAATGAGTTTAATGGATTAAAAAATTGAATTTCTTTTTTAACTTCAAGTGCAAAAATCTCAGTGGTACTTGGAAATGTTCTAATTAAAAAGACTATTACCTGAATGGCATTAATAAGACCTACTTGCATGAAACTGCCCACATGGGAACGGCCCCTAGATTAAATACAAAAACATGTTTGGACATTTGGGGTAATGAACATTTTACTGCTTTTGCTCCCGAGGGCTAGATGAGGATCAATATCTCATGTGTATAGTAAATGTGAAGTGCAGACTGTATATAAAAATGGCCGACGTGTCTCCACTTCCTCCCGTTTGACAAAAATGAAGCTGAAATGTACCAGGCACAAAATCCGCCATCTTGTGATTTTGACGTCATTTGGAGCCAGAGTCTGATACATGTGCTCGACCAATCCTGAGTCTCAGCTGTCAATCATGTTTTTATAGCATCAAATAACTAATTAAAACAAAGTTACTGGAAACACTTGGACAAACATCAATGTGATGAGAACTACATAACAGTCTAATGAATTATTTTCAACTTTGACGTTTAAGTTTGGTTCATGGCCCGTCTGTTTACATAGAGGAGGCAGGGTTTATGTCATGGTAAAGCCAGCAGCTAGTTAGCTTAGCATAAAGACTGAAGGATAACAGGAAGCCTGGTTCTGACTGATACAGCTACTGTTGCCCTCCGTGCTCAGTTTTCATGGTAAGCTAAACAAAGTATCATACTCTGGCTTTAATAAGTATGAAATATGAGTTGTTAGAATATTTTCTCTGGTATTTATGCAGTGGTTGTTGGATGTAAAAATAAACGTGTGATACAGAGTGAAAATGAGATCAGACACAGATTAATTTGATTTGGAGGTAAATCCTCTCTGTGGGGCTTTGGCTCTGTGTTCAGTAAAAATGTATTCAAACCAAAGTATAAAAGAAAAAAAAAAAACACATACTAACACTAACCGATAATCTTTCATGTCAGATTGAAGTGTACTGGACTGAAGTGTGGAGAAGGGCCGGTTTAACTTACCTAGACAGACACATACTTTGGACCTTAACTATTTCATTAGAACAAACTATAAGTATATCCTTTATTTCATTTATCCCCGTTCATCCCCGTTCCTTGTTTTTAAATTATCAAAGAGGTGATATTTTTTTTACCTAAAACATTAGGTTCTTACTAATGTGTGATTATGAGCGCATACGTTAATTTAGAGGTAGTCTATGTAGAAGCAAATGCTTTTATTATATTTTTAAAGCAGATTTCATTCAGCTTAAATATCACACTGCTGATGAAAAAAGGCTGCACGCTGTTTATATAAGCTGTCTGTATGTACTGTAGGTGATGGCTGTGGGAAGGCTGCCAAATACTAATCCACATCAGGTAATGAGATCGTGCAGCTGAATGCAAGACGCAGGATCTAACAAGGGCTTTCCAAATTCATCCTTTGTCTTCTGCTTCTCTGGCTGTAAGCTGAGGGTCAAAAGGATGTAACTAGAGATGCAGGGGAATGTGGAGAGATTTAAATCCAATCTATGAATGTATGAGTCTGGAATATTAAAGCTTGATGTTCAAACGTTTGGTTTAGATTACTACTGTTTCTAAAGAGTGCTTAAAAGATCCTTCTGCAGTAGCTGCAAGCTTTTAGATCAGATATACACCAGGCAAGTCTTACTTTTGTAGGAGATGAACTTTATTCATTTTTCAACATAATTTATTTTCTCCTTTACATCCTTCGCACAGCTCACATTATTTTCTTTTTACAGAGAATGAGTGTCTTGCTTGTCTCGCGTTGCAAAGGCTATCCTCGTCCGAGCAAAGAATAAGCAAAATAACAAAAGGTCGATATAGATATATAATTTAGACTCAGAGAATGAGGTAACAATTCACAGTACAAATCCTTCAAGTTTCTTTAAGAACTTCAACCTGCAGTTTTTAAAAGTTTTTGGAAACGGTATGAAAACGAAACGCAACAAAAAGCAAAAAAATAAAAGCGCTTTTACAAATCTTCAGCCCCAGTCCTTAATCCTCTCCCCGTCACTGATAGAGTAGAAAAAAAAACAAAGACCCAGTTTCCCTCCTAGAAAAAGGTGCGTTTGGTTTGCATGTCTCCTGAAAGGCTAAAAGAAGTGGTAGTGGGGGACGGGGTAGGCGGGAACTTTCATGACAGGCAACAGAAGCATTCTCTTGGGCAAACCTAGAGAGGAGACACGAGAAGAGCACAGCTCTGCATGAGTCCAGGGCAACAAATCACCAAGTGTTTGTGTGCTCACTACACAACAGGCGTCCCCAACTGGGGTGTTAGGTGTGTGAGGACAGGCAGAAACGTCAGCCGTTAGTCAGTGGTAAGAGGAGCCGAGGTAGAGAAAGATTTAGAGTTAAAGACAAGAAAGCAAATCGCTGAAGCATATTTTAGTTTATTAAAAGATTTTGTATTTTAGTAATTTTAGTATTTAATTTTTCTGAAAATATTGTACTAGTCTGAGATCTGATGTTGTGACACCGCTACAATAAAAACCAAAGTACAGTAAGTCATAGTTGTAACATTCGACTTGGTTTTATCTTTTAAAACACTTATCTAACTAATTATATATAACTGACTAATCTGAGGTTTTTTTGTCGCTACATTTCCAGATCTCAGGACCTGTTCAGTAAAATGTTATAATTAGTTTTCAAAGAAGAAGAATCAAGTTAGAAGAGTCTTTATTACTTTAGATCTCAGATTTTGGAAGAGTTTTTAGAAAATGTATGTTCTGTGATCTTCTACGCTCTGTGATATGATATTCTGTGCTTTATGGTGTGATACAATAGTGACTAAAAACAAAGCAGCACTGTGCACCAGAGCACATGAAAAAAAAGATGTGCCATAAAAGTGGTTCCTGAATTTCTTTTTGGAGACATTGCCGAACCTAAGATCTTTAAGCACTCCTTGATTTTTTTCTGAATCATAATGTTCCCAGTTGGTTTTAAATAAACAACCTTCCTGAATTGCTCTGCCAACAGAACTTTCATTCATACTCTGCTTTTATAGTCAAAGTAAAAGAAAATTGATTTCCAGCTGAAAAGCATGTTTTGCAATTTTTGTGTTTTGCCTCAAATGCTTCAGGTACAGTTTGAGAATCACTGAGCTCAACAGAGACAAAAACCACCACAGGAAGATGTTTCACCTCTAATCCAATCCGAAGAAACATTTTGGATGAGAGATTTAACGTCTTCAAGAAACGAGCAAGTCCAGTTGCCTTCTTTTACAAATACTTGTACAAATCCATAAGAGTTTAACTGAAGCTTTCCTGTCTGTTCCTGTCTAATGACAAATTGATCTAGTTGTGGGAACTAGTGAAAGTTCTGGGGTCAGTAGACATATATAAAAATTTAAATCATGTCTATGTTTGTCTTTTCATTGGCTGGTCATGAAGCAGTCTTCTGACTGACCGTTTCAATTTTTGGATGTAATGGCCATTGACAAAATTTACAATAAGACTTCTCTCTGAGTATTTCTCAAAGTGTGGCCTTCACCATAATAACATGTGTAGTGTGTTGACAGTGAAGGAAAAGCAGCAAACGAACGCAGAGCTCCAGATCTCGTGGACACGTGAACTGAGGTGCTCTTCATGTTCAGGACTGCTGGGTCCTCGGGGGGGCAACTAAGCGCCTGCCTGAGGCCTCAGACCAGTTTCTCCCAGGACATAAGAGCCTTTCAAACGCTGAGCTGCAGGGTGGACAGAGGGGCCTAGGCAGAGCTACATGTGTACACACACTACACAAGGCCCAGTCTGTTGAGGTCAATGTGACTAATGTTCAGTTGAGATGTATGCAGGGAATTTTGCACCAATAGCTACACTGATAGGTCAAGGACTAGTATAGAGAAAAGGTGTGGGTGGGTGTGGGTGGGTGGGTGGACATGGAAACCCTTTAGCAGCAGCATCATGACGGGAGGAGAGTAAAGTTCCGGAGCTGCCCCGCCAGCCCATCTTAAATAACAGCGTGCAAAGTGAGGAACTCGCACTATGTCTCCTGATAATCTGAACAGAAATGAATATGACGGCAGCACAGTGTGTGTCTGGGTTAATGTATGATCTGTGTGTACTTTATCATAAATGTCATCAATTTCTGGGGATTTTGACATTGGCAGCTCTTCCAACAATTAGAGATGAGGGTTTGAGAGGCAACAAGCAGTTTAAGAAACAACCAGTGAGCAGACGAGGCGTACACATGGAATAGTTTGAAGAAACAAAGAGCCAGTGGTTCAAACTCTGGTTAATTATGAATGAAAATCAGAGCCAACAACTAAAACTATCATTAAAATTGGATAAAGTCGTTTGAGAAAAGGGGAGAAATTGGAGCAAAGAGGCAGTTGGTGGTATAAACCCACTGTAGAGTGATTTAGTATGTTAGCAGCTGTGGAAGATTGAGGGGGAACTGTGTGGTTAAGAGAAGGGAGAAGGTACAAGAAGCTGAAAGACGGAGGATGGATGAGGAGTGGACTGAAAAACAAACATTGGGTACATACCGTATGCAGGAGCAGCTGCTGCAGCAGGGCTGTAGCCATATGGTGTCCCGAAGCCTGTTGAGGAGGTTACAGGGTCCAGTTTAGTTGGTCACTTGTTAACTTCCAGACTGCACCTTTCAACATTGAGTTCATAGTATTTCTGCCTGTCTACATCCTAGAGTAGAAGCTACACTCATAACACAAATCTAAGTCCTATTGATGGGAATCAATCCTTGATCTGCACAAACATTTCTTCCTTGACTCATATCTATCCAGCAAGTTTCATGGTAAACAAACTCGTAGGATTGTTGGAGGAGGTAACTCTCACTACCTGGCGTGACGTATCCAGGTGCAGCTGCACTGACGAAGGCTCCTCTCGCGAGTGCTGCTCTTCCTCTTCCTCTGGCGACCTGAGCTGCTACTGCTGAGGCCGCTGCCGCCGCCGCCAGGGCTCCTTTCGTCTGAGCACAGACACAATATAGACCACACGTGAGTTTGCTTCAAACATTGAAATGCAAAGAAATGTTTAAAATTTGCATTCAGATATCTGCATGAAGGTGCCACAGAAAGTACAAAACCACACACTTTATTATGGGCCTCATTGTTCATGAGTCTGTCAGAACACAAGCTCAGTAACAAAATCTCATCAGTGTCGAGTACTGATCTGATTAGACACTTGTTAAACTCAGTGTTATTGATTAACGCCAGCAAAACAAATTGGACCAATGGTCTTGAGGCTCAGAGGTGTAACTGGTAAGAAAGGAGATTTTAAGCATGATCTTTTTTTTTTTTCAAGCTACACTGGCTGTTTGAGAAAATATAAAATGAGTGGTTTGACAGTTTGTTGTTTCATGTAAAAGCACATTCCTCAGACAGGAGCCGTGCCCTCTGTGCTGCGTTAGTTCTGTCTGTGTTTGCAGCGCCTTACCTGAGGCAAAATCTTCTTTTTCTTGTTTGCAGCTGCGTTGGGACCAGAGAAGAGTTTTTCCAGGGCAGCTAGAGCAGCACTGGCCTTTGCTACCTTTTTGTTGGGGCCTGCCCCACGAAACTTCTGCCCGTCCACCTCCACCTGAAGATGTAAACACACCGAACATTTAAGGGGAAAACTAGCCTAAAGTCATATGATAGTTTTACCACAGTAGTTTTTCTCATTTAATTATAGTTGTAGTTTTTCCTCTTGTGGTCTCAGCCTAAATGTACTGCAGCTCTGTCTCGACAACCAGTCACAACGTAATGTTGCCCAAACCTGTGTGTTTATCAGTCATCAGCCAGTGAGTGTGTCTGAACAGGACAGCTTGTTTAGCAGTGCCCTCCTGTCAGGCAGGCCTGCTAATCAATCAGCAGAGCGATGGAGCGGCCAGGCGTGTCTGAAAACAGCACACCCCACAGAGATCAGGCCTGCTCCAGGAACCAAGTTGACTGATTTACTCTGCCGACGAGCAGCCTGTTAGTGTGTGGCCTTGACTCTGCCTCTGTATATGTCTTTGGCTACAGTGCACGTGGATGTGTGCTCGTGAAATGATTTTATACTTGTTTTTACCTTTGTTGTTAAATTATACGGCTCTGCACTTTGTGTGTGTGTGTGTGTGTGTGTGTGTGTGTGTGTGAGTGAGAGAGAGAGAGAGAGAGAGTGTGTGTGTGTGAGAGTGTCTCTCACCTCCATGATGAAACGTTTGTCATGGCTGCCTCCACTTTCAGAGATGAGCTCATATTTGAGGCCTCGCCTCTTCTCGTTCAGCTCCATGACGGGATTCTTCCCACTTGCTGTCAGTATGGGACCCTGAGTTCGCACCTAGGGGGTGAGGAGGATGAAGTAATTTAATCTAAAAGCATCTTCTAACTTAACTAGATCCATCTTTACTGGTGGACAGTAAACCTGGGAGACGGAGCGTGATAAGCATTGGAAAGAGCAGTTTTGTTCCCTTGAATCGGTGGCTGTTACATTTCATTAACTTAACTTCGGTGCCAGACTTTAAGAAAAGACATTAGAAGTGATTGCTTTTATTACTTCAGTACGTTTCTTATTCCCCACCTCCAGTGTGTTGGAGCTGTCCGAGGAGTGAGTTGGGTTATTGCTCGTATGTGAGGACGTATCGCTCTTTCCCTCACCGTCCGACTTCTCATCTGAACTCATGGGGTCCAGGTCTGAGTCGAATCCTGTCGGGTAACCCATCGCCTGGAGAACCTAGGGAGACAAGATGATTATGTTGAGACCAAAAACAGGTTTACTTGTTTATTTCAAAACTAATGAGATAACAGGAAATTCACAAATTTCCAGATATATTTAATGAGAAAACGGCCAAGCATATAGAGCCGACCTTGTCATGTTGTCTCTTTCAACATCTTTGAAGGCGTGTAAATACTTCATTGTGAAACTGTAGCTGGTCAAAGCACATTGCAGTCTGAAACCCACTCCAGATGTCAGTGATCAGATCTCAAGTGCGTCCTCAAAGTATCTGGGGTGTGTTCATGCTTGTCCACTGACGATCAGGTTACTCAGGACGGATGTTAACCGGGTGTTTGAGTGTGATCAAACTAATTTACTGCTGTTGGAAAACAAACTGCAACTTGTCAGTTTTTTTTAGTTCTCTATTTTAACAAAAAACTCCAGAGGCATCATTGTCCCAGCACACTGCATGTACTGACAGAACTGTGCCACAGAACGGCAGAGACATTCAGAACAATACGCAGGAAGAGGAGAAAAGCAGAGGAACAAGTTTTTGACCCAAATAGGCGATTGTGTTACAGCTGCTGAATCGGCCACGAGAGTGAGAGTGTACTGGCGAAAGCGAGGCAGAGAAAGAGAGATCAAAAGGTGACAAGATGGGGAAAAAGAAAGAAAGAAAGAGAGAGAGAAGGAGAACAGAACTGTGGGGAGATGGAGCCTTTTATGGGAATGGAGTGGATAGCGGATTATCCCAGCTCTGTGCTCTGGAGAGCCTCTTTGTTCACAACCGCTTTGGGATTACATGGATTTTCCCACCTCCATCCTTCCTCACGCACACACCAATAGACAGTCATAGATGCACACAGGGCACCTGTTTTTTTTATCAGTGGCATTTGTCCCCAAAAAATCAGAAGACGAAATTCAGATGTTGATGTACTGCATATTAATCTCCTGTTGGTTGAGCATGAATATCATCTGATTCTCTTAATCTTTTGTTTTACCTTGACAGCGACGTGGAGCTTGGCCGTCTTCTTGGACGATCCAGATGCTTCGTAAATGGTTCCATCCAGATCCACAGACATGGTGAAGACTGGAGCGTGAACCGGGCCCGACTGAGACAGCAGGCGATACTGAAGCCCCGGCCGGATCTGGTTCAGCCGCATCAGGGCGTTCATTGGCTGGTTGGAGTCTATGGCTTTGCTGTCCAAGACTGTGGAGAAAAATAGAGGTTGCAGTAAAAAGCAGTGCAGATAAGGGTTGATTGAATAATGGTTACAGGGGGTGGATCAATTATCCAGCAGTAGTTGGAGAAACGCCAATTTCAGAGATGGTGTTTGCAATAAATCACATTTTGCAGGTTTTTAAGACTGACTGGTTGTTTTCATGATGAATAAAAGTGCCACTTTATTTTATTTTCTCTTTCAATCATGTTCCTCCCGTTTGTCAATATCTAAAAATGCCTTTCTGCTTCCATTAGTCGTGCTTCATCTTCACCTTGTATGAAGAAAGAGCTGGAGATGATTGGGTGGCCTACTAAAACGCAACCAATCGATAATATTGATCTGCCTCCGAGGGACTGAAGGAGAGTGAAGAGCAGAAAACCAGACGGGGGGGGGGGAGAAAAGACACAGAATAGAGACAACGAGAAGAGAGGCAAGAATCATCTGAGTGTGGGGCTGCTATATACGTAAGTCTGAATAAAAAATAAATGAAACTTGTATAAGATGGAGCATGTTCATTTATTTTTTCCAAAGGACAATAATTTAAATAGCGTTGGAAGAAACAATCAGATAATGGCACTATTTTATTTTGCTTCCTTCTTTTACCTTTCCTCAGATTCCTCTTCATCTTCTTAATGAGGTCCTTGTCGTCCATAAATCCATCCTCGTATGGCCTCTTCAAACCCAAGCCTGAGAGAGAGAGACGTGGAGAGTCACTAATCAATCACTTTCTACTAGAGGATGTTTATATGAACGCACTCAAAGGCTCTTTTGTGTGGCTGAAATGCATGGGGGGGCCTAACATCTCAGAAAACAAACCATCCAGGAGCACGAGCGTAAAGATGGATCAATTCACCGATGAGACAAACAGAAGAGGCAGAGCAGCAAACCTCGAGGAAGACATGTAAGCTCCTTTCCTACATGCAGCCTAATCTTTAAATGCTTTGGCAACTGTCCATGTCAGTGTCAGTAGAACCAAAAGGCTGAGAGGTTTGTTTTTTTCTCTCCATGAAAGTCACTTTGAAAATTTGCCAACTGAGTCTTTCTCTTCTGCGAACCGAAGCGAAAACATTCCTGCGTAAAAGCACCCCTCGATAAAATTAGAGAACGTTTGGATATTTATTTATAAATAAAGATGGACAGAACGTCTAATATTTCCAATATTCCTATTATTAATATAACGCAGATACACGTGCCACCATCTTCTGAGTCATTTGGAGCCAGAGTCTGTGTAGAACTGATCAGTGGATGTAGCTGTGCTGTTGATGTACCACAGATAAAGGCACGAGTCAGTCTCACCTGTCAATTGTGTTTCTACCTGTTTTTATAGTATCAAAAAGTCATAACTGTGATTACAACTACTTTAAAATTATATTAAAAAATGTTAACTTTGACTTTAGAGTTTGGTCCATGTCCCATCTGCTAACGTGGAGGAGGTGGGGTTTCATTTAGGCCATTATCGCAGCCAGCCTCTAGGAGCTTTGGCTTCACTTTTTGGGAGAAGTAGCACATGTCCACCTTATTGATGCTGCTGTCAGTCGAAGTGTGTAGAAAACCACTTAATCTGTCCACAAAGGTCATGTGTATGTGTGATACTGTTATTGAACCCAGGTACGTTCTATCCAGACTCCCGAGAGAAAGGTTGATGATTGGTCTGTCTGAGCCTTTCTCACATGATTAGCGGGGGAGAGGGTGGAAGATGGATACATAGAGGCTTTAAAGCCTGAAGAGACCGATAATCAGGGGACGCGGACACAGACTGAAAGACAGACTTGAAGGATGAAATGGATAAAAGACAGATATCTGCACGTAAAGACGAGGGATGAGGATGACGCAGACAGTCAGGAGAACAACGTACAAACCTTCTTTATCAGACCAGGGGTATTTCTGTGATGGTTTATTTGAGGGGAGAGGGTCCATCTCCAACACCTTATAGATCTGTCCGAATGCCATGAGTCTGAGAGCATGCTGTTAAACAAAAAACACAGGATAAGAGATTTGAAATGACCTGAAGTTCCTTTATCCGTCTCTGTGTGCTTCACTCTGCTTTTCAATAAAGTAGAGTGTTCATAAATTGTAAAATCAAAGTGAGTCTGTACTAATGAAGAGCATAACCAGAGTTTTGTAAAAAGTTAAGTAAAGAAACTCAGAGGAACAAAGTTAAGTGACGATATTCAGGCTTGTATAATCATATTTGGCATCACAAATG